TTCACACCTACAGGCCAGTGGACACTCTTTCAGTGATGAGGATGTAACATCCTGGACAGGGAGGAACGCTGGTTTGAGGGCGGAGTCAAGGAGGCCGTTTACGTGAAAAGGGAAAGAGCATCTCTGAATGGAGGAGGGGCCTAAGGGTACATCTGTCACCATCTTCCAATGCTGTGATTGCAGCCATTCCCCAACTCTCTGTGAATGGGACTCATGGTTATTGATCAGTGATTGTTGATCAATGGTTGTTGATCAATGGTCATGAGAATTGGATAATTAAGATCAATGAACTGACCTCCCAGCCCATTGTTCCTTCACTGAGCTGGTTTCAGTCATTATGTAAATGTACTGATTATAAGATTGAAACCTGCAGTCAGCTGAGCCTGAAGACGTCACCTGATGATGACGAAACGTTTCCCACTGAAAACGTCCAGATGAACAGAATCAGCTTTTGGAGATTTTCTTACCTGGATGACTGAGCGTGCATCAAGATGTCTATGAAATACTTACCTGAACACTGTGATGTCACCTGTTGGTTGGTTATGTGCGCTTATGAAGCTATGAACATTTTCATGATCTTAGCTATTTGTAAACCAGATGTCGTATCAAACTTTGAAAATCATCGGCTCGTGATTTGTGAATGAAAAGTCAAGAACCAATAAGCATAGACTGGTTTCACCTGCTCTAAAGGGAATCATAACTTACACACTGAACATCACTTCGTTTTCAGCATGACCTGAAACTGGCGAATGAGACCATAACCTCGACATGAAAGTGTTTAGTGTGGTCACAAACCCTGAGAGCCGGTGTTTGTTTCCCATAGAGCTGAAACAGAGGAGCTGCTGGCTATGACACACTGACACTTCTGTGGCTTCACCCTTTCTAACCTGTTATTAATGTTTGCCTTGGCTTTGTTGTCTTCTGATAGGCCACCACACACTGGGTCCCAGCCAACCAGAACCTATTATTACAAGGACTTCTTCCCACCCCTTAGTCCCAGAGCAAACAGGACCCATGCTAACGCGTAGCGCCTCCTGTCGAGAGCCGTCTATGACCAATATGAAGAGAGCCAGTGCTGAAGTGGAGGTGATAAGTCCGTCCAGTCCGTTAGGCAACCGTGACAACATGATGACCTTCAGCAGCAGCACACTGCCAAGGTAGCTGTTTTTTAATGAGTCCATAGTCATAGTTGCACTTTGGAATATCTAGTTTTTTATTGTTTTAGTTGAAAAGATATCATGTTTATTTTATCCATTTTTTTCAGTAATTTTTTCCAGCAAGTAAAATTGTCTGTTTTAGAGATTCTGGAAAGTAAGGAGTTGCAGACCAAGACGAGCTGTCTGCAGGGTCCATGATCTTTGGATCGTTATAAACCGTGGAATAATGGCAATGATTGGGAAACCTGATGTAGTTTCATGTTGAGGGAGTGTTGATGGGCAATATGAGGCTGATGGGTCATTGTCACCACCTCGACAACGTTCGGGGGGGTGGGTGTCATGGACACCTACGTTTGTGAGCGTAGGTGTCCATGACTTCAACGTCACAGGTCACGAATTCTTGTCAATGTGATAACTTGAAAACAAGAACACGTAGCAAATTGATACCATGTTGTCTAGAAGGCTGAGGGAAGCACTGGTGGTCGCCAGTATTTTTGAATTCCACTTTATACAATCATGTGCCAGGTGGAGGTTTTTAATAAGTAAAGTAAAATGTTATTTATATAGCACCTTTCAAGATAAAATCACAAAGTGCTTTACAGAGGCAGAAAACAGACATTAAAATCTGAAACAAAACAAAATCAACCAAAAGCGAGTTTAAACAGATACGTTTTCAACTGCTTTTTAAAAGACACGACTGAGTCCACAGATCTCAAACTCGAAGGGAGCGAGTTCCAGAGTCTGGGAGCCGCTGACGCTCTGTCACCTTTTGTTTTTAACCTTGTATGCTGGACAACCAGCAACCCCTGGTCACAAGACCTCAGGGACCTGCTGGGGTGATAAGAACCAAGAAGATCACTGATGTACGTTGGAGCTACAAAAATATTTGTGTTTGGGTCCATTTGAAGTTCAACGACTCTGATACTCAGAAAACGGCTGAGTATCGTTTCCAGGTCCTGAATGTTCAGAGGAAAAATGCAGAGTGGAAAGCTCTCATGCAAAGTTCCAGAGAGACATTCGGGACTGCAATCTCCTCTGCTTCACCGAGACATGGCTGAACCCAGCGGTGCCGGACCACGCCATCCAGCCGGCCGAGTTCTTCTCGGTTCACCGCATGGACAGGACACGGGACTCGGGGA